GCCTGAAACACACAGAGTACATGTTCATTTGTGCCCAAAATAGCAAGAAGAGAAGCGATTGCTGCATGGAGATCCCTACTTGGGGGTGATTTCTCACCTTTCCTCTCACTGTCTCTGTCTTTCTTGGTGAGTACACACTACCTATGGCAAAAACCTCACAATTACTATTATAATATTCCCAAAGCACAGGCAATTATTCCAAAAATAGACATGTGGGACTACATCAGTGTAAAAAGCTTCTGCACAGCAAGAGAAATAATAATTAGAGTGTGGATTCAACCTTCAGTGTGGACAAATATATCTGCCCACAGATAAAGGGCTGATAATCAGAATATACAAGGAACTTAAGTATCTTACCTGCAAAAGAAGTAATCAATTCAATAAAAAGATGAGCAACTGAAGTGAACAGAAAACTCTCCAAAAAAGATATATAAATGGCCAAAAAGCACATAAAACTATGTTCAACATCCCTTATCATAAGGGAAATGCAAATCAAAACCACAATGAGAGAACACTTAACCTTAGTAAGAACGGCTAAGATTTAAAAAATAATCATAAGTGCTGACAAGCCTGTAGGAAAAGGGAATCCTTTTACACTGTTGGTGGGAATGTAAATTAGTACAATCATTCTGGAAAACAATATGAAGGTTCCTCAGAAACCTTTAAATAGAGCTACCATATGATTCAATAATTCCACTCTTGGGTATCTACCCAAAGAATAGGAAAAAAACTCACTCAGAAAAATACTGGCACATCCATGTTTATTGCAGCATTATTCACATTAGGTAGGTTATAGAATCCACCCACATGTTTAAGAACAGATGAGTGGACTGAAAAAATGTGGCACATGTACTCTGTTGAAATTATTCAGCCATAAAAAATAAAAAAAAAAATGAGACCTTGACATTTGATACAAAGTGAATGAATATGTAAGTTTTACTGCTAAGTGAAGCAAGCCAAAGAATGAAAGACAAGCACTGTATTTCCCTGTTTAATATATACCATATGTTTGCATTTTTATAGCAGAAACTGGAAGATTAGAAAGTGTAATTAATAGCAGGGAGGATAACTCTAGATGCTAGAGACAGTATAAAAGAGCATGGACACACCCTATAGCGAAAACCTCTCAAAAAAAAAAAAAAGAGCATGGATAATAGTGGGTCTGTAATGGGGGTGAGAGGCAGGGCATCAGAAAAAAAAAAGAAACATACATTTAATAGACACAAAGTGAAAAGTCTTCTGTTAATGATAATGTAAATGGTAATGTTTTTGACTTGATTAAAATACACTATATTCATTTTGGGAAAAATCATATCGTACATTGTAAAGATATACAATGATTGGGACTAGCAGTTAGCATAATGGCTAAGTCACTGGACTTCCATGTAGGCAACTGTGGTCCACGTCCCGGACCCAGTGGCTTAAAACTCATGCCGGACGTGTGTGCATGTGTGCCCAAGATCCCAAGAGGAAAATGGAGGAGAAGGGATTGTGGTGTGGCCATCCCCCCTGGGGGGGTGATTTCTCACTTTCTGTCTCTCTGTCCCTCTCTGTCTGTCTGGCGAGCGCACGCGCCCTACAGTAAAAAATAAATAAATAAATAAAAACTCTCAAAAACAGATAAACAATGATTAAATGATTAAATATGATTAAATTTGAAATATATATATATATGTATGTATATGTATATTGTTTTTAAAGACTTAAATTCAATAGAATTTGATTATTAATAAGCCTTTTGGCAAATAAATAAACTTTGTTTTTCTTGTGATTTATGAAAAGTTTTCAAGTATATTGAAGGTACCATCTAAACACTAATGTTATCTGTTTAGTACTACTGGTCCTAAAAGAAAATATGCCTTGGTTTCTCTCTAAATCATTCAGAACACAGAAATGGAATGGTCTGGCCCAAAATAAAGCTTCAAAAGTAAATGTTTATCAAATCAAGGAATAAATAAAGTAATTTTTTAAAAGACACACAGACCAATGGAAGAGAACAGAGAATCCGAAATAAACCCCAAAACATACAGCCAACTGATCTTTGACAAAGGGACACAATACAATCCAGTGGAGAAAAGAAAGCATTTTCAACAAATGGTTCTGGAAAAATTAGATATCCACCTGCAGAAAAAAAATGAAACTAGACTCCTGTCTCTTACCATTAACAAAAATCTACTCAAAATGAATAAAAGATCTAAATGCAAAACATAAAACTATAGAACTCCTTGTGGAAAACACAGGGAAAACACTTGAAGACACTGGAGTAGGCAAAGGTTTCTTAACTAGGATCCCAGAAACATGGGCAGTAACTCCAAAATTGCACAAGTAGGATTACATCAAATTTAAAAGCTTCTACAAAGCAAAGGAAGCAATGAATGGAGTAAAGATACATACCACAGAATGGGAGAAAATATTTGCAAACTAGATTTCAGATAAGGAATTAATAACCAGAATATAAAGGGAACTCAAGCAGGTCACATGCAGAAAAGCTAGTAACTCAATTTAAAAATGGGCTATGGGGCCCAGTAGATGGCATAGTGGTTACATCACTGGACTCCCACATGGCTGAATGTAGTTCGAAGCCCGGACCTGGTGATTTGAATATCACACCAGGTGTGTGTGCATGCATGCCCAAGATTCTGGGAGGAGGATGGAAAAGAATACAGTGCAATGAGGCCATCCACCAAGGAGGGTGATTTCTCACTTTTCCTCTCACTGTCTCTTTTTATCTCTCTGGGAGTGCATGTACCCTAAGGCATAAACCACTTAAAAAAAAGAGGGGCCTATTGATCTGAATAGCCAACTCTCAGAAGAAGACATACAAATGGCCAAAAAGTATATGAAAAAATGTTCAGCAACTCTCATCATAAGGGAAATGCAAATCAAAACCACAATGAGGTTATCATCTAACCCCAGTCAAAATAGCTATGATCATTTAAAAAAAGGAAAGAGAGAAGTGCTTGCTAGGCTATTGTGAAAAGGAAACTCTCCTGCAGTTAATAGGAAGATAAATTAATACACTCACTGTGGAAAATAATATTGAAGTTTTTCAAAAATTTACAAATAGAACCACCATATGACCGAGTAGTCCTACTCTTGGGTACTTATTCAAAAAATCACTCATTCTGAAAGACACTTGTATATCCATGTTTATTGCAATATTATGACTATCTAAGACATTGAATCAACCTAAGTGTTCAACAACTGATGACTGAGTTAACAAAGTGTGGCATATATACACAATGAAATCCTACTCAGGTATAAAGAACAATGAGATCTTGTCATTCAATATGAAGTGGGTGAATCTAGAAAATGTAATGCTAAGTGAAATAATGCAGACTATGAAAGCCAAATACTGAATGTCCTCACTCAATATATATCAAATGTTGCACTGTATGGCAGAAATGAAAAGATTTGAAGACATAGAAGTAGAAAGGACAACTCCAGATATAAGAGACTGCATAGGAGGTAGGGAGTAGGGAAGATAAGAGGGGATCAGGAAGAAGCCATTTGGCAGACACAGGAATGCAGTTAGATGGGACAAATGGGTTGAGGAACAGCATAGCATAATTGAGTGAAAAAAAATATCAGACACTGCCCGTCTTATAAAATAGTACAGATCAGAATGAGGTATTCTTTTTTCGAACCAATGAATATGTTCTTATCCTTGATTTGATTAACACACTGCATGCATACTTTGAAAATCCTTATTGTATGTCACAAAGATGTACAATTATATCTAAATAGAAAAGTATTAAATAGGAAAAAAAAGCTGCCAGATTAAAATTAAAGTTTCTATCCTACAACCCTTTTAGTTTTTTCAATACAAGAACAGAAGTAATCCTATAAAATTTAAGTGGTAACCTGCAATTCCTCAGATCAAATTTTTTCAATAACTTATCATCTCACAGAAGAAGCTAAATTATTAAATGATAAACTGAGATTTTTGTTCAAAATATGTACTGTTCTTTACTGGTGCCCTCTCTATAGTCTCTCCACGTGGGAAGAGTACACTCCGTTCTCGATTGACATCAAGCTTGGCCATGTGATTTGCTTTTGCCAATGGACTATGACCAAAATATACTTATCACATGATTCCATTATGGCTTTTTTTATCTCTGTCATAAGAATAAGTGTCCCTTGGGAACCAGCAGTTAGCGTAATGGCTATGTCGCTGGACTCCCACGTAGTCGACCACGGTTTGCGTCCCAGACCCGGTGGCTTAAAACTCACGCCGGGCGTGTGTGCGTGCATCTTGCTTTCTGTCTCTATGTCTCTGTCTGTCTGGTGAGCGCACGGGCCCTATAGCAAAAACATCTCCAAAAAAAAAAAAAAAGAATAAGTGTCCCATACATGGACTACTCCTTCAGCCTGGTTACCTTAATGAAGACAATATAAACAGAATCAGAGAAACCCAGGGCATGTAAAATGAGCCAACAATTTTGTTGTTGTAAACCACTGAGATTCAGAGTTTTGTTTTTTGTTTTTTGTTTTTGTTTGTTTGTTTGTTTACCACAATATAGTTTAGATACAGATGACTAATATATCTTATTGGGATCATTTACAACATGCAGTACCTCCCACTCTCTGTCCTCACATAATTGACTTCATTTCATACCAGAACTCAGGAAGACTGAAAACTAGCTTTGAATTAGTTTAACTCACAATTATGTTAAGAATCCAATCTTATGCCTCACACCCATCATCATCTTCAAGAACCACCATGAACATCCTAGGAGCTGGGTTAGGTGTGCATTCTCTTAACTCATATAGCACTCTCTACTTAAGTCTATGGTAGTACCGAACATACCATAGCAGAATCACTAGTTTAAATGACTTCCCCCTATACTTTACCAAGTCTCCAAGTTCTAAGTAAGGCAAATGCTATCTCTTATATATTTTTAAAATGGTATAACCAGAACATACCACTGGGCTCACTGTATAAGGAGTTTAATAAATGTTTATCAAATAAATTAGTGCATTAGCATTTGTTTGACCTATTAAACTTTTATTTTTCATTACATTTAGTACAGTAAAGCAAATACATGTAAACCTCAGTATTCTTCACACAACAGCAGAAGCAAGGGAGGCCAGCCACAATTCAGAGTGCTTTTTCGGATGTTGTTATATTTGTTTAACACCTGAAGGTAGATCACTATCAGTGAATCTTTTCAAACTTTCAAGGAAAAGCCTATATCTATAGCTATATGCTATATATTCTCTTCTAGATAATGCAGCAAGATGGAAAGAGTCCCAAAGTATTTTATAAAGCTATCAAAACTCTTATACCAAAATACAACAAAGATAGCAAGTGGTCAATCACATTTACCCTACTGGACAGGATATTAAAACAGCTGAAACATTTCAAGATACCAAAGAATAAAATATGAAAAGACATAAATGGAACTGGAATATAAATACCAAACACAATAATATACCTGCCATGCTAATACATGAGACTCAGGGCCCTAGGGCTCAACCTCACAAGGCCCCTCTGACTGATACACATTTCTCTATCTGAAGTTGTGCACAAAAAACTGCCTGTGTTCAACATTAGCCCTATTGGCCTCATCTTCTAATGCCTCTCTGTACTGCTGGGGCCAGTCCTGTGGTTCTTTTCTGTGGATTCTGGCCATGTATCGTAGGGCTTTCATTTTGGAGGTTTCCAAGCGAGCTCTAGGGCCCCATACAAATTCATACTGGACTGGATCACTGTCAGGAACCCGTAAACTGTCTATGTAACGCTGACTCAAATACCTACAGGTAATCACATGCTTTCTTCCAGACTGAACCCCTAAACCACGCAGAAAGGCCCAGACTGCAGACTCCTTGGCGTGGTTGCCCATTATGAAGATGAAGCTTAGGACCTGCATTAAGAAGTTGTTGCCAGGCCTGTTTGGACTGTCTACAATCTCTTCAATTTCTTCCATTTCCCTTCGGTTGTACAAGGTATAGGAGTGGTTCCTGGGATCAAGTACCACTAGCTCTGTCCCATAGACATGGTTCAGGGTGCGAGCAGCACGATTCAGGAGGTCAGGGAACACTTTACTGCACTCTCGGCCAATGTAGTAGAGAATTCCTTTCTTTGGTATAGGCAGCTTAGTTGAATCCATGAGCAGAAATAACTGCACCAACTTCCTTGCTTTGCTCTCCAATCTTGACTCAGGCCATGAATGAGGGGGATATTTTGAGGAATAAGTGGAAATCTCTGAATCAGGGGTTGCTACCTCTGCAGCAGCTTCTTCAAAAAAGTGCCTCCTGTGGGGAGGCAGAGCCTGCCAACCCTCAGCAGCACCTCTGCTAGCATCTTCTTCCAGAGCCTCATTGTATTGCTCTGGCCAATCCATAGGATCTTTATTATAGACTTTAGCCATGAACTTCAGAATTTTCATCTTGGTGGTTTCTACATGGGACCTTGGGCCCCAGAAAAATTCATACTCCACTGGGTCACAATCAGTTATTGGCCTGTAGTCCAAGTAACGCTGCCATACAAACTCTACAGACAGAAGTCTCTTTGGGTTCCCAAATATGGAACCCCGCCTCTCCCTCTGCACCCCCATCCTCCAGAGCATTTCCCAAATCTCAGTCTCTTTGGCTTGGTTGCCGTTCAGAAATATTTGTCCTAGGATCATCATCAAGAGGCCCATCTTTGGCCCATTTGGGCTCTCTTCTAACCCTTCAAAAGGCACAGGTCCCAGTTTGTTGAGCAGAATGTAGGTGCGTTGCTCAGGGTCAAGTTCCCTTAATTCAAACCTAAAAATGCAATCCAGGTGGGCTGCTACTCGTCTGAGGATCTCAGGGAACTGGTTGTGATATTCTTTAACAACATATTGCAGCATTTCAGACTCTCGGATAGAGTATTTGCTCTGATCCTTTACCAGTAGGAACTGCAACAACTCAGCCACATTCTGTTCCATAGGGTCCCAGGGCTTCAGATTATTGATTTGAGAACTACTGAGGCCCTTAATGGTAACGGAGTTGGAACTGTCACAGTCTCTCAGGTCCTGTAATTCCATGGGGCCTTCTGCACCCGTGGGGCCCTCTGAGTCCAAAGAAGCCTTAGAAAGTTTAGGGTGTGGCAAAGCAATAGGGCACTTGGTGGGGTTCTGGCCCACAGAAGCACTTGAGCTCAATAATACTGCAGCGTCCTCAGAGGCAGTGGGCATCCAGGAGGTGCTAAGGACCCCCCTGTGGGTGGATGGCACAGAAATATGTGATCCTTCAGATGCAGTGGGCAGCAAGGAGGTGCTAAGGACCTCCCTGTGGGTGGGTGGCACAGAAATATGTGATCCTTCAGATGCAGTGGACAGCCAGGAGGTGCTCTGTCCCTCACCAGGGGTGGGCAGCACAGAGACGATTAGTCCCTGAGATGTGCTGGGCGGCCCAGAAATGCCTGGTCCCTCACTAGTGTTGGGCAGCCTGGTAGTGTGCGGTCCCTCATTGGGGGTGATCAGCCCAGAGGTGCTGTGTCCATCAGAAGCAGTGGGCGGCACAAAAGTGCTTGAGGACTCACCCGGTGTGGGCGGCACGGAGATACTCAGTCCCTCACTGGGGGTGAGGGGCACCAAGACACTCAGCCCCTCAGAGACGGCAGGAGTCTTGGAGGTGATTGGGCCCCCACTGGGTGTTAGCAGCAGAGAGGTGCTCGATCTCTCAGAGACAGTGGGCTGCCTAGAGGTGTTTGAGCCCTCTGATGCAATGGGCAGCGCAGAGGTGCTTGGGCCCTCACCAGGGGTGAGCAGCACAGAGGTGTTCTGGCCCTCAAACGTGCAGAGGCTCTGGAGGATCTGGGGATCGCTGGAACCCTGGGGAGCGTCTAAGCCTGGAATAGTAGCGGGAAGGCCCGGGGCGTTAAGGGCCTGCATTTCACCCCAGCTGCTGTTGTGCGCAGTGGCCTTTGCACCGCGGCGGCGGCGGCGGCGGAGGGAACTTTCGCTT